CAAATGTATTTTATTTGTTATAAATACAACAATTATAATGTCATATCATATGAATACCTGAGCGCTTCTTTGATGACGCCCTTCACACACACACACACACACACTCACTCACTCACTCACTCACTCACTCACTTATTGAAATTTTAATGATAAGAGATTAAGTAAAGTGTAGAAATAAATACATTTGTATTAATATGAATAAAATATTGTTACAGAAGCTAATAGTGATGTCTTTGTACACAACGGGTCGAAAATCGGACTACTTTTCTAATCCGAATCAGTTTATGCCTGAGAGATGGCTTAGAGATAAACAGTCGGCCAACTATCAGGCTATTAATACTCACGCCTGTCTGCCATTTGGTTTGGGCGTCAGGTCTTGTATTGGGCGCAGAGTGGCTGAGGTTCAGATGCAATTTCTCTTATCCAGAGTATGTATTATTCAATGAAATATTACTTGAAATGATTCTCTAATGAAAGTTATACGATATATTTTACATGACATAATCTATAATTGGATTTTATTCAAATATTCAAATATCTAATGGATTTGCATATATAACTAATTGAATGAATATTTGTATTGTTTTATTGAATAGATTGTTCAGAAATTTGAATTGTCGGCCACAACTGACAAAGAGATTGGCATTAAGTTGCGAATGATTACAACACCCGAACAACCCATACATTTGGCCCTCAAAAAGAGGAACACTATTTGAACACATTTTTAATACAAACTACACAATACACTACAATATGTTTTTTTTAATGAACCCAGTATTATATTTATATAGATATTTAATCTATTTCCCAATATTTTTGAATAGAAACACAAATTATTAATATTTTTAGATTGATTTGAATAGTTTTCATAATTAATATTTAATTCTGATATAATATTTACAATTATTCTCATATAGAACCCAACCCACCAATTATGATAATGTGATCATAACAACATTTTGCCAATATTTTAAATTCACTAAATATTCAAACTCTACAGAATATACATAATAAGTATAATAAGTACCGTATAGTACTGTATATCTTTGCAGTGTTGATAAATATTTGTATATTGTTGAGCCATAATTTTAATTCAAGTCATCCGTACTTTCTTTAAATAATTTTTATTACCTAATATTTTAATGGAATCTCAATTTAGAATTTGGACACTCCTTATATTTAGATTAGATTATCTTATAATAAATTATTTTAAAATTATGTACAAATAATATAATTTATTCACAATATTTTTGTGTTATATTTTCTAACATTTATATTGAAACAAATTTTTTATGTATAATATTTTATTAATTATAATATAAATAATTATAATCAAAATAAAGGTAATATTTGTATATTAATTAGAATAATTATCATCTATAAAATTATAAATTTATCTTGTATTTCTAAATTTTTATAAAGGATGATTCACATATTACGTTCGCATTTTTTGAGAAATCTTGACCCCTCCCCCTATGTTCGCAATTGTTTGCATGTAGCCATTTAAAAAAACTGATTATTATCTATCAAATCAGTAGACTTTGTGTCTGTTATATAAGTATATACTGAATAATAATTAATGTATTAAAAAGGAAAGTAATTTTATGATTTAATTTACTTTAAAGGAT